TTTGCAGTCTGGCGCATTAACACACAGCCACACAGTGCAAAGAATCCATCCACACACTTGAGTACTAATTGAAAGGGCTGGTGGTTCAAATACACTCAGAGGCACCTTGAAAGAAAGACCCAGCAATCAACAAGGGGGTTTCAAAAAGTTTATGTGGAAATCCCATTAGCATGTCATTCCATTTTTCCTTGTACTTCTGAAAAGTCTGTCACTGAAAACCCTGCGGAGCACAGTTCTACTACACACATGGGGTCACTGTGATTGGAATTGATGTGGAAACTGGTGTTTTCTGGTCTGTGAAGAAGCTGTGAACCCCACGAGGAGGCTCCTGTGTCTGTCTGAAACCATCAGCAGACACCTGCCGCCCTCACCTGACCACCTTGGTGAGGACTCAACCTCTTGGGTCCTCTGGCTGCCTCACCAGCAAAGCCCTGCTGGCCTCTTTCTAAGCTCCCTCTAGGACTCAGGCTGCATATATATGAGTGACAGCCATCCCTATCCCACCCCACCCCACCCCAACTAGCACTGCTCCCTATTTGGAAGTTTCACATGTTAGTGTTGTTGTTGTTCTGTGCTGTCAAGTTGGTTCTGACTCATTGTGACTCTATATAGGGTTTCCAAGAGCAGCTGGTGGGTTTGAACCATCAACCTTGAGGTTAACTGATCCTAGTGTCACACCAGGGTTTCATAAAGAAAACGAAATGAAGTTCCTGACAAATATACTCTGAAGAGACGAGTTCTTAAAGACACAAAGGCAGCAAAAGGGATGAAACGAAGGAGAAACCACCAAAGAATAGGGTGGCCAGGCTACCTACTAAACACACATATCAGAACAACTGTGAGGGAGGGTCACAGGTCCACTCAAGAGACAAGCAGGCAGTGAGAAGGGGCATTCAGGGGAATGGAAGACAACAGAGAGGAAAACCACAGGGCAAACATAAGCTGTGGGTTTAAGAAAACGTCACTCGCATGACAAAGGTTGGAAAGGGAACACACCACAAGGGGGCAAGTGATTTTTTAAGAGGTGGCTCTCTCTGCCAGTACCTCAGTGTGTGTGGCAGATCCACACTAGGGCTGCTGCTGAGATTGATCTGACTCCCCGGTAACTCCATGCATCAGGGGACCACACTGTGTAACCCACTGGAGTTTCACTGTCTGATTTTTGGAAGTAGATCACCAGGCCTTTGTTCTTAATCCATCTTAGTCGGAAAGTTCTTCTGAAACCTGCTCTGCACCACAGCAACACACAAGTCTCAACTGACAAGACAGGTGGTGCTTCACATTAAGTGCATTGGCTGGGTATGAACTCGGGTCTCCTGCATGAAAACCAGGAATTCAACCACTGCAGCATGGCTGGCCTCCAACCTGCTATTGTTGTAAATGCTACAGAACTGGTTCCGACTCATAAGGACCTTGATAGGGTGTCCAAGCAGTGACTGGTGGGTTTGAACCACAGACCTTGCAGTTAGCAGTCTAGTGCTCATTCTACAAAGCCACACCAGAACACCAGGCCCCCACCCTAGTACTACACAATTCTAAATGTTTCCTTTTGAGTCTGATACAGCTGTGCTCCAACCAAACAGACCAGAGGTGAAGGAAAGATAAATGCTGCAGGCAGATAGGTGCGTGTTTCTCAATTTTCCCCATGGTGGTTCACGTTCCTGTTAAAAAGAATCCCCAAGCTCCGGGAAAGGCATCAGAAGTGCTGATCACTGAAAGCTGTGTAAAGCTGTAACCATAAAGCACCACAAAATTCTCCTTTCCACTGCTAGCCAATCAGAGCTTTTACAGAGAGAATTAACCACACAAAAGGAAGTCCTAAAGCTACTGCTAACCTCAAGGTCAGCAGTTCAAAACTATCAGCCATTCCACGAGAGAAAGATAAGGCTTTCTGCTCCCGTAAAGACTTGCAGTCTCAGAAACCCTACACAGGTTCGCTGAGTCAGAACCGACTCCACAGCACACCACACCACCACTTTTGTTGAGAGTGTGTGTTGTGTTTACATGATGTTAAGTCTATTAAACTTCCCATTCACACAATAGTCTTAAAACTCAGATACAGTGTATAGTCATCACCAACTGGAGTCCCAGTGTGGCTAATGTTCTTGACTACAAAGTCAGTTTGAACCTCAACATCAGCGGTTGAAGCTCACCAGCTGCTCCTTGAAAACCCTACACAAGGTTGCTAGGAGTTGGAAGTGACTCCACAGTACACCACCATGACCAGAGGATACTGGGGGAGGGAATAATCAGGAAGCTCACAGAAGAAGAAAGGAGATGCTAAGTTTAATTCATTTCAAGGGCTTTCAATATCCAGTTGTTCACTAGGGGGCCAACTGGGGTGCTCTGCTTACCAAGCTCTTTGGCCTACATCAGAGCAGTAGTACCAGGGGGCTTCAAAGAGTTCATGGAAATTCCAAGATTAGCTTCCAATTCCATTTTTCCACACTAAGTTCCCCTTGTGGAAAAGCAAACAGGTATGATTTAATTCTTAATGAAGCAACTTGGCAATATCCATTATGTATTAAAAAATGATCTCACTTTTTTTTTTTGCTTTGAAATTTTATGCCTGGGAATATATTCTAGAGAAATCAGTCAGAACAAGAAAAAAACATCCTTAGAGCATTACCAGTAAGAGACAATTTCGTTTAAAATAATCTAATAATAATTGATATCATTGTTGTTAAGTGCTGTCGAGTCGGTTCTGACTCACAACGACCCTGTGCAGGGTGGTTCCTGAGGAGTGGCTCCTGAGTTTGAACTCCTGACTCTGAAGTTCAAACCGACCTTGTGGTCTAGTGTTTATCCTACAGCACCACACCAATGAAATAGGGAAAACACACATGGTAACATGTGATCCGTATACAGATGCCATAGCTAACAGGAAATCATTAATGAGGCAAAGCATCAAATTGTTTATAAAAATATAAATGCAAACATGGAAAGATAAAAATTGGAGGGGAATATGTTGGCCAAACTTCATCTCTCATACTTCGGACATATTGTCAGGAGGGACCAGTCACTGGAGAAGGATGTCATGTTTGGTAAGGTGGATGGTCAGAGAAATAGAGGAAGACTCCCAGCGAGATGGATTGGCCAAGTGGCAGCATCGATGGATTTAAGCGTGGCAACAGTAGTGAGGTTGGCCCAGGATTGGGCAGTGTTTCGTTCGTTCTGCTGTGCATAGGTCACTATGAGTTGGTACCGACTTGATGGCACCTAACAACAAAAATGCTGGTCTTATATTCTTATTTGTGGAAACAGCAGGTTTTCATTAAGTCTTTTTAATATTGCCATAACACTTGTGAAGAGAAACTGAAATGCATCCTGCCTAAATATGATAAAATTATATATTGTCATTTATATGTAAACACAGATGAGAAGCTTTTCTGAAAAGTTTTTAAAACGCTGTTGCTTATAGCTAATATATAACTATCATCCAGAGCCAAAGAGAAAGAAGGAAGTCACAGACTCAAAGAATAAACCATCCGGTACGACTAGCAATCTACGTGAACCACAGTTTCATCTACCCTGAGCCAGAAATGGATGGCGCTCGGCTATCAAGTACTGTCCATCCTGGCCAGGAATATAATAGATGGATCATGATAGAAAGGGAGAAAAAGGCGGAACTGAACTCACATTCTTAAAAAGTTCACACTTACTGACTGGCTGAGATCAGAGGACTCTCTAATCCTAGTCTAGAGACCATCGCCTGAGAAACTCCTTAAACCAGGAACAGAAATGACTCCCTGCTGTCACCTGTTAGCTAGATAACCGACTGTTGCTGCTGTTGTTAAATGCCATCAAATCGGTTCCGACCCACAGTGACCCTGCATAGGGTTTCTGAGGAGCAGCTGGTGAGCTTGAACTGCTGACCTTGCAGTTCAAACAGCTTTGCAGTCTGGCACATTAACCCACATTGTTTTAAGTCCACCCAGAGGTGCATCAGAAGAAAGTCCTGGTGATCTGTTCTGACACAGGGTCACCATGAGTGGGAGTCCATTCAACAGCAACGGGTTTTAATTACAGTTGTGGGTTCTGGCATTTCTGCGAGATCTCCATTGCTCTGGTAGTGCAATGAGTTATGTGTTGTGCTGCTAACCTCAAGGTTAGTAGTTCAAACCTACCAGTCACTCCATGGGATAAAGAAGTGGCTGTCTCTTCCCGTCTCAGTAACTCTAAGAAGCAATTCTCTGTCCTTTAGGTTTGCTGAGTTGTAATTTTTGTTTCTGATTTGGGCTTCTGCTATGGTGAGCCCAGAGCTGGGGTCTGGGAGGCAATGAGTGGTTCCACATGCCATTCCTCTCTACATGGGAGAGGCCATCTCTGCTGAGCTAGGCCACACTTCCTCTGAATGGAATGTCTTCTTTGAAAGGAAATCTGTCTTCCTCCCAGACACTGGCTGCTGCTTTTCTCAATACAGTCAACAGGGAAGTCTAGCTTTTGGGGGGAAGTAATCCATAACACATTTTAAGGTGTATTTTAAGAGTTTTTATGAGACTATTAATTCCTACTTAGAATTGATTTCCTCCCACACAATCCTTCCCCATAAATAATTTTTACAAATGAAGCTACCTGAAGCTTACATTTATGTGAAAGGTACACCTGCTCCTCCAGCTTTCTCCTTGTGACTATGGAAATTTGAGAAGATGCAAATTTACTGAGAGTTTCATGGGTTCCTTTTACCTAAAATTAGTCTTTGGTCAAACTAATCTTCTCTATACAGCTGTGAGAGTTTTCTAAACATGGATTTCAGCTGGGCTGTGGCTTCCACAGAGAACAAGAAGGACAGAGTTGAAGAGCCCAACAGACGACACACATTATTAGGCAGCGCACAAAAAGACGGCCGGCACCCGACCATAAACAGCAAAGCCAGCGACTCCAACAGAACACAATCTACAGTGTCAGTTCACTGTTACATTAAACTGACGTCACAAGGGTCTGCTGTCCCACTAGCCACGGACAGATGAGCTATTCCGCCAGGACCATGCCAGTAACACTAGCCCTCAGGGACTCAAGTTCAACTCAGGCTCCAGGGACCTTTTCACTCTGAGCACTGATCCATAATCACCCCCAACAGACATATAATGGTTTAGGATGATAACGGCTTATAATGAAGTTTAAGACTCCCAACATTAATTGTGGAGGGAGGGGATTATAAATTTTTCTTAGTATGTAACATTTCTACATGCAACTATGATGTCCTTACCAAATGCTTCCAAAAGCCAACAGGTGACAGTTACCTGGTGTTAGGGATTCAACAGTATGTCCCCCAGAGTCTGTGTTGGAATCCTAACCCATATGCATCCCTGTGGGAATAGGATAAATTTGTTGTGCTAATGAGGCCCTACCAGTGTGACTGGGATCAATTCTGAGCTCTAAGGAGCAGCACAGAGACACACACAATCAAGTACAAATGGGGAAAGACAGATGTCCCGGGAAATCACTGAAGAACCCAGCAATGCCGGCAGGAACTACAGAAGCAGAGACAAGTGTCTTCCCCCAGAGCCAACAGAGAGAGAAAGAGGGAGAGAGTGAGCCTTCCCCTGGGGCCAACATCCTAAATTCAGACTTCTGACCCCCTAAACTGTGAGGAAATAAATTTCTGTTCTTTCAAGCCACCCATTTGTGGTTTTTGTATTATAGCAGCAATAAGGATCTAACAGGGTCGCTATGGGTCGGAATCGACTCGACGGCACTTAACAACAACAACAACAAGGATCTAAGAGACCTAGTATTACCCTTACACAGTGAGGGGCATTTGGAGTCGTACTGTTGTTGTTGTTGTTGTTAAGTGACGTCATGTCAGTTCCAATGCATAGAGACCCTGTACAGGCTTTCCAAGGAGCGAATGACTGGTGAATTTGAACCACTAACCTTGTGGTTCAGTGTTCATGCTGTAATACCATACCAGGGCTCCAAGAGTATTATTAAGGTTATTAAATCATGTTATCAGCAAAGCCAACTTGGGCCATGAGGGCTGAGGTTCACAGTGAAAAGATGTACAGGCCGCTGTGGAATGAGATTGTGCAAGGCAGCTGTCAAGGGTGGCGGACACTAGTCCTTGGGGACAGAGGAGCAGGTGCAAAGCCTTTGTGCACTGAATGTGCTGACCTAGGCCTGGACAGAGAGAAGATGCCAGGTGGCCAAGAGTCCACCTCTGAGGCAACAAAATCACTGCCAATTACACTACAGATGAGAGCGGTATGAGGGTTATGTTAATAAATGAAAACTGTGTGTCTACTGGACGCAGATGGAAATATCTGGAAATGCCGTGCAGTGCCACAAGGGCTAAGAGGGCTATGAAACAAAGGGGGCGGGCCGCACGACCAAGACAAAGCCAGGTGGCTACCGGATGGTCAGCTGGCCATCGAAGGCAGGTGATGGCTACTTACGGCTCATTACGCTCTTCTCTACTTGTGTGCATACTTCCACCATAAGCCATTTTCCAAAGTTAATCTTTACTTACAACATCAATGGGTTCTGAGCTGTAAGTAAAACTTTGCTTTACAATGGCAGCCTTTAGTCTTCCCCCAAACTGGCCTTGCTCCTTGTATCCTCACCGCAGGCTCGTCATCCAGCGTCTGCAGCATCCAGGTCTCCAGCGTCTGGAAGTCCCGGGGACCCTGGTACTTCACAGCTTCTTGGCCAGGCTTGAAAAACTTTAAGCTGAAGGAGCAACACAGGATAAGACAGAGCAAAGTCTTAAAGTACCTCAAACTGCTTTGAGTTGAGAGCATTATCTTATCGGAGGGCAAGTTCATTTAATGAAACAATCAGAAAGCAAGTCATAAATGGGCACCTATCTACCACTCCCTTGACTCTCTGATAAAACTGGAAAAAGTAACAAAAACAACATTCTGGGAGATAATACATCCAATTAATCCTAAATGATTAAAAGTTTCTGTTCTCACTGAAGAAAAAACGGAAACAAAAATGTCAACCCTAATCCTATGAATTAAACTCCAAGTTGCAAATGCTCATTTCTCATTTGCAGAACTTTTGAGCCTTTCCTCCCACTAGATAGATGCTAGTCTTTCCAGGCTTAACTAGCTTGATTTTGTTGTGGAATTTGAAAATGTCAACTATGTATCACTGCTTGACAATAACTTCTATTTTAGGCTATTGTATCAGCTAATAGATGCCACAGAAACATGAGGACTAAGGTACCCCTGAGTCAAGTCATGACTCATTTCAACTGCTTCATACCCAAGCAAAAGCTGGACAATGAACAAGGAAGACCAATGGAGAATCAGTGCCTTTGAATGATGGTGCTGGCAAAGAATATTTAATATACCATGGATTGCCAGAAGAACCAACCAATCTATCCCAGAAGAAGTATAGCCAGAATGTTCTTTAGAAAGAAGGAAAGCATGATGAGACTTCATCTCTCAGGAGGGGCAGGCTCCTGGAGAAGGACACCAGGCTTGGTAAAGCAGAGGGTCAGAGGAAGAGAGGAAGACCCCTAGTGAGACAGACTGACAGAGTTTCTGCAACACTAGGCTCAAAGAGAGCAACAAGTGTGAGGATGGAGAAGGCTGGGCAGTGTTTCCTTCTGTTACACATGGGCCACTCGGAGTCAGAAAGGACTGGAGACAGCACCTAACCACAGCAAAGCAGTACTATACATACAGTGAGAATTCAAGTCTCAACCACTCACTTCCCTACAGAGAAGGAATCTCTCCTTTTCTGCTACATACATCGGCCTCTAGCGAAAACTGCAAATGGGTTACAAGATCAGTCCTTTCATGGCAAACAAGGCATTAGGAGAGGAAAATTACTGCCAGTTCCTGGACCATCCCATCAATAATGGAAAAGCATGTTTTCCATAGAAGGTGTCAGGGATGGAATAAAGATGACTACTGATGGGAGAACAAGGGGCAGGGGAATAGAAAGGTCCATTGCGTGGTCCACCTGTTCATTTGAAACATCCAAACATCTCTTCACAGCATTTATGTGGAGTAGATGCCATATGCATAGAGAAGGAGAAGAAGCCAACACATGCGGAAACCAGAATTTCAGGTTTAAAGGGCCTACAACTGCTAACTCCCCAGAGGTCTAGCAATGAAAAGCCAGAGATCTGATACAAGAGAGTCTGAATGTAGGAATAGCCATTTCCACTGAAGCAGAAGGACCTGGCTTTCTGCAGAGGATAAGGCACATGATGGGGCTTCAGCGATGTCTCTGATGTGTCATCCACAAAGGACACCAACCCAGCTTCCCCAGTAGTTAATACTTTGATAATCACAACAAAAAGCCAAAATGTATCTAGATTTGGTCAGTACGTCAGAAGTTGAACATTTTAAGCACCCCAAAGTATGCTTTCACCTTTTCCAGGGACATGCTGGAGCTATGGGAATTTCTTTGCTGAAATTAGAATACAATAAAACCTAACCTGTGATTCTTCTAGATTGGTATGCATTGTACTAAATAAAAATGAATGATTGAAAACACACACACACAAACAACACTTCTTGTCGTTGACTGAGACAAGATTCCTAGTGCTCCAAAGGCCAAGTTCCTTCCTCACTCAGCTCAAAGGGCTTCAAGCAGGGGGTAGACTCTCCTGTGTGGTCAAGGCCATCCAGCCTACCAGGTCATCTGACTGTACGCCGCACTCTAGACCAGGGATGTTGTTGTTGTTAAGTACCGTGGGATGGGGAACCCTTTTTCTGCCAAATTTTTATTATCATTCACAGACCATACAAGATTATCAGCTTAAAAAATTAGCCTATTGTATCTCTCATACTTCGGACATATTGTCAGGAGGGACCAGTCACTGGAGAAGGATATCATGTTTGGTAAGGTGGAGGGTCAGAGAAAAAGAGGAAGACCCCCAGGGCAATGGATTGGCAAAGTGGCAGCATCAATGGACTCAAGCATGGCAATGATAGTGAGGTTGGCCCAGGATCGGGCAGTGTTTTGTTCTGCTGTGCATAAGGTCACTATGAGTCGGTACCGAAGCGATGGCACCTAACAACAACAATATCTGGTCAAACATTTAATTAACTCAGCCCTAATGTGATAGGAGTACTGGTGTGGCGCTGTGGGTTAATGCACCAGACTTCAAAGCCGTTTGAACTACAAGGTCAGTGGTTCAAGCTCACCAGCTGCTCCTCAGAAACCCTATACAGGGTTGCTATGAGTTGGAACCAACTCAACAGCACTTCATGACAACAACAATGTGATAGTTGGAGTCCTGGTGTGGCGCTGTGGGTTCATGCACCAGACTGCAAACCCGTTTGAACTGCAAGGTCGGCGGTTCCAGCTCACCAGCTGCTTCTTAGAAACCCTATACAAGGTTGCTAAGGGTCAGAACTGACTCGACGGCACTTAACAACAACGTGATGGCTGGACCTGTGGGTGGCAGGGCCAGAACAAATGATTCTGCGAGCTGTATACAGCCCACAGGCCGGATGTTCCCCACCCCTGCTCTAAAACAGACATCAAGAGGAAATGGAGAGGGGCCGCTGGGGCTCAGTCTACGCACAGCGCCGATCGTCTCTATTACCAAACCTCGACATGGGCATATTTTCCTCCCCAGGTGATTGTTCCTTTCAGAGGGACTACATGGGAGAAAACCCCCGTTCCATGCCATTCTGAATGGCTGTGCAAATTCTCCAACTCCAGGTTCCTTCAGTTCATCTCCCTGCATGGTTTTCGCAGGCATGATTCTTTATGTCCCAGAGTCTTAAAAAGGAGAAAGCGTTCAGTTGACAACTGACAAGCCGACAATTCAAATTCACCCAGAGGTACCTCAGAAGAAAGGCCTGGTGATGTGCTCCCAAAAGGTCACAACCATAAAAACCCTACCGAGCACAGTTCTACTCTGACATACACGGAATCCCCAGGAGTTGGAACTAACTTGAAAGTAACTGTTTTTGCTTGTTACTTGTTTTGAAATGATTCATTCCTTGCTGGACAGGATGAGCTGGTAACATTTCCTTGAACATAGCCAGTCACCTCTAGGAGCCGTGAGAGCCCAAGCTCATTCCCTCACCAATTCTTTACTCCAGATCCAGGGGCTGGGGATGAATGACATCAAAGCAAATATGCTGCCATAAAGTCAAGGCATTTACAGACACTAAGTCACACCTTACCATGGGATGGGTACTGCCCTAGAGGAAGTACAACTCACAAACGATGAAAGCCCAGCTCAGAATTCCACAGTGAAAACAATCTGTACAGGGACACTTCTGTAGGGCTGCCACCGCCACGGTCACTGAGGAGCACTACAGTGAGAGTTCGTTCTAGTGCTTTCCACAGCACAAACCCGTAGCTGCTCAGTATACACCAAGGCACATGATCCACACGGACCTCTTCTACAGCTGAACAGCACCCATGGAGCAAGCGATGCTGCAGTCAGGTACCTCTCTTGGCCTGGCCCAGGGGGCACCCTTTGCTTCGCTGTCTGGCATCCCAGAACATGTCCCTTCTCAGTCCTAGTACACACGTCAGGGTTCCCCTTCCCTATGGTGCCAGGGCCACAGAGCCACAGATGACCAACTGCTTGAGTGGACACCATGGTCAACCATCTGGGTCACCCATGTCTTGAAAGTGATGGATCTCAATAGGTAAGCGTGCATCTCATCATCCTGGTCCCTCCACTTACCAACTCCCTACTTGGGTGAACCCTAAAACAAGCAAGGTTTATTTTCAGGACAATCCTATGAAGGATACAGTGAGAGCTTTTAGGCAGGTACACACAAAGGGGCGTCAAAAGATTTGTGGGAAAATTCCATTATCGTTTACTTCCATTTTCCACTCTATGAGGGGTCCTGGTGTGGGATTGTAGGATCAGCACTGGACTGCTAACCACAAGGTTGGCAGTTCAAATCTACCAGCTTCTCCTTGGAAACCCTATACAGTCATTATTGAGTCAGAATTGACCCGATGGCACTTAAAACAACAACAACAGTATATATAATACAGAGTTTCATCTCAACTGGCCCGGCTTGATATATACTTGACATTACGGCACAATCTTAGATTACCAAGCACTAACTAAAGACCGCGAGTTTCAGAGTCTTTGATGGAAAGGCATATTTAGGGTAAACTCTGATATGTATTGGGAAGCTCAGATTGGTGTTTGCACACACATTGTCTCATTTAACCCTTTAACAATGTTCTGTAGAGGTATGGTCACCTATTTTAGACTCAGAGCTGTAAGGTGCGTTGGTGATAGCATACAGGAGAGCTAAGATTCAAGACACAGTTCGAAGCTTCTACTTTTTCATACTTCCTCTCAGGTGTGAAGGTAAGTTGTGCTTTTATACTTAACTGGAAAAAAGACAGTCGCTGTCGAGCTGATTCCAACTCATGGAAACCCCACATGTGAAGCTGACTTCCACACTGGGTTCAATCCACAGGACTTTCTCCCAAAGCATCTCGAACTATCAACCTTTCAGTTATCAACCAAGCAGCACCCCAGGGATTCCGTGCTCAACTGAACATACTCCATACTACTCAGCTAAGCAACAAGTGATAGTGAATTGACTTCATTCATTACCTGGAATAATATTTACGGAGCTACAGTAGAATACCTCCCTGCTTTCTTCTGTAAACAGCATCTGCCTTTTCATGGAGAACTGCTCTCTTCTCCAGAATTTGTGAACTTCCAAGATCCTGCCTCCCTGACCACAGTGACTCTCCCTAACCACAGTGACTTA